ATGCCTCACCTGGGGCAGCTGACATGGCACATGGCCCCCCCACTAGTGCAGCCCTGGGGGGGTCTCCCCAAAAGTGGACAGCCCTGTACTACACTATGGTAGTCTTACATATCAATTAACGCAAAATAAGCCCACTTATTTGAAGAGGAGACTAGACAGTCACCTGACCCCCAGTTATCTTTTCTGCTCGGTGCAAGGGGCTGGACCTGATGATCTTCCAAGGTCCCTTCCGGCCTGATAATCTATGAAAAGGAAAAGAGGGATTCACCGTAAGCTCAGAGAGGGTGTCTTTTATAAAACTTTGGCAGAAAAGGAAAAGGAATTGGTTGCTGCGGGATTTAATTCAAAGCTCGTAACACCGTAATTCACGAAGCGGATGTGACCAAACGTATTTAACCTCTGCCCGTTATATTTCAGCTGGGTGCCCAGCGCGGACCCTTTAAAGGTCTAATCAGCCAAGCGCTGAGACGTTCTCCTTCAGTGCAGATAGTCTGCAGCGAGATGTTCAGGGCATGGATAAGCCCACAGGGTTAATAAGATTTTATTTTTGAGAGATAGAAATGTTTCAAAGTCCGGGACGCTTTTTACTCAAAGGAATAAAAGCAGATTGCCAGGAACTGAGTTGCCTTGAGCGTTTTATCCCGCAGCTTCTAACTGGATATGGCTAGGTGGCTGTCATATCTCTGCCCGGCCTCTACGTGCTGGCGTGATCTCCTGTCTCTCTACAAAAGGAAGTCTTCTTCGAAGCGCTGAGCAAGGGGAGCATTTCTCACGCAGTCTGCAAGGCCATCTAGTGACACAACCGCGCAGGGGGAGGCAGAAACCTCACCGCTGTTTCACAAGGGTGCAGAGGAGAAGCAGCTTCCTGCAGCCACAGAGACGAGCTGGGGGAGGAGAAGGGATGAGGGCGTGGGAGGTTTTCTGCACCCCAGAGCAGCAGGCTGGGCCGTCCAGCCGCATTCAGACTGCGGGTCATGACCCCCACTTCTCTCAGTAGGGAAATTACAGAGTGGTGCGGAAGGAAATGGGGTCAGGCGCTGGAGCGAAGCAGGGCCCGGGCAGAAGGCAAGCCCCAGTCGGAGTGGTCTCAGCAAGGGGAGGGGAGGGGAGGGATCCCTCCTTGAACCTAAGCACTGCGGGAGCAGCTCCCCCTGCCCCAGGCCCGGGCGGAAGGCAAGCCCCAGTCGGAGTGGTCTCAGCAAGGGTAGGGGAGGGATCCCTCCTTGAGCCTAAGCACTGCGGGAGCGGCTCCCTCTGCCCCCGGCCCGGGCAGAAGGCAAGCCCCAGTCTGAGTGGTCTGAGCAGGGGGTGGAGGGATCCCTTCCTGAGCTTGAGCCTTGCGGGAGCGGCTCC